TCCTCCTGTGCCAGATGGGCTGGTGGCAGCTGGTGCCCACAGGGCCCCTGCCAGGCAGGCAGAAGGAGAGAGCAAGGGCCCTGTCCTCCATCGCTGCCGCTCTGCCTCTTGCTGCCGGGGTCTGTTCTCTAAAGATTCATGGCGTTACCTCTCCCCTTTGCTTTTGCCCACACCCTGAAGAATTGCTGCCACCAACCTCATTAAAGGTGGAAAGGGTGGAGGACACTGGTGTGTTGATTTCTTGGCACCCACCTGAGGACGCAGCTGCCAGGCAACTCATTGACGGCTACGCCGTGACGTACGTATCCCTCGACGGCTCTTACCGCAGGACAGATTTTGTGGACCGAAGTCGTTCTGCCCACCAATTGCGGGCACTAGCCCCCGGCAGAGCCTACAATATTTCTGTCTTTTCAGTCAAACGCAACGTGAACAACAAGAATGATATCAGCAGGCCTGTCATGCTCACCACGCGCACTAGTGAGTAGCGTCCCCGGGGGATCGCGGTCGTGAGCACGTGTGGCCCCCGCAGCCACCAGGGCTCGTGTCGCCTCCTTCCAGCCGCAGCCCGGGCCCGTGCTGAACCCTGGCGGGTTTGGTGGTGCAGACCCTAAAGCCCAGCCAGGGGCCTTTGGGAAGCGCTCGGCACAGAGAATTGCTGTTCTCTCTGCTGTGAGTACGAGGGGACTGAGCCCCCTGTGGCTTGCCGGGCCCCTGCCCGGGGTGGGTACGGGAGCCGCTGGTGGGCACCACTCCTGGACCCTTTTCATCAGGGCCAGGCTGCGCCTGCCGTGCCGGTCACCCCTGGTCACCAGGCCCGGTGTAGCGCCGGTCCCCAGTGCTGCTTGGCAGAGCTGGAGAAGCCCCCATACCAGCCGGGCAGTGGAGCTGGGCCATCTCTGCTGACAACAAACCTGTGGGCGAGTCGCCCTGCTGGGCTCGGTACAGGGCTGGCAGGGACCCCCGCTCCGTGGGCAGCAGGAAGGGGGCATGGCGCTGCTGTGGTGGGGCCTGGGCAGGTGGAGCAGCCCCAGTCCCGCTGCCTAGGGCAGGCAGATGCAGAAATCGAGCACAAGCTAAGGATGGGGGGGGATCAGACCTGGAAAAGCTGCTGTCTCAGAGAGGGGGCTGGCGGTGGGAAAGCCCATGGGCTGAGGCTGAGTGAAGCCCAGGGGAGGAGAAGGCAGGCATGGTGCTGGGCCCAGCAGGGGTCTGCACCCCTGGCCACAGCATCTCAGGAGGCCTCAGGCCAGGTCTGGATGCTGGGGGTGGCAAGAGCCAGGCTTGGGACGGCGGCCAGGGGTGTGCAGCGGGCTTAGGGCCAGGCCCTTGGGAGCTGGGGCCAGAGGCGGACAGCCCCAGGGTGTGGCCGATGGCATGAGGCTGGGGGGGCAGGCGGGAGGATGCCTCTGCCTGCTTGTGCCTACCACCTGCCTGCAAGTGGTGAGGATGGGAGAGGGCGAGTCTGGCAGGGCTGAGTGGCTCCTGCTGGGGAAGCCAAGCCAGAGGGGCAGGCAGGACCCCCCTTGCAGGGCCTGGGGAAAGGGATGGGGCGACCCGCAATGACCGCAGCCCTCTCTGCTTGCCCCGGCCAGGACCGCGCCCGGTGGAAGGCTTTGAGATCATGAATGTGACGGCCAGCGCCATCACGGTGCAATGGGCTCTCCACCGGCTCAAACACTCCACTGTCAGTAGGGTGCGTGTCTCCATCCGCCAGCCGGGGGACCTGGCAGACCGCACAGTGGAGCTGAACAGCAGCGTGGCCAAGTACACCTTCCTGTGAGTGGGTGGCAGGGGGGGGCTGGGCCGGCTGGCCTGCCCAGGGTCGCCCACCTTACTCCTTCCCACCCTGCCTTCCTCCTCCCCAGGGACCTGCAGCCAGGAGAGATACATTGTCCCCATGTCACGACACTGAGCGGCCTGGGGACAGAAGACCACCCCTCGGAGAGTCTGGCCACGGCCCCCTTCCATGTGTGGACAAGTGAGTGGGGTTGCCTCCCC